GCGTGACAGATTGTTCATTACTAAAAAAATCTGTAAAAAAATCTGTAAATAAATTGTTTACAAAACGCACAAACCAAACAGCTAAACAGTTTATCCACAACAGGGGCAGAATAGTCATTTATCCAGAATCAGTTCTTTTTCAAACGCACAAACCAAACAGACAGCCAGCTTATCCGGATCAGCTGCTCATCAGCAGATTATCAGGATAAGCTGCTTATCAACGGAAGCTGGATAAGCTGCAGCTACCCCCAAACAGACCCTACATGTGACATGTCTAATGAAATAATTTATAACTTCTCATTCATATACCCAATTGGCCTGAAATCGCCTCTATTAATTAGTTAACATCTCAAAGTTTTGATCTAGAGGGCCTCACCCCTTTCTATTAAGAAATCCTAGCCATCCACTGCAAATAAATATGGGTCAAAACTCCATTTAAAAATTCTAGAATAGTCATTCTCCTTTCCCATCTTTTCATAACAACCCTAACCCCTTCCCCACCTCATCTCTACTTTCTTAACCATCATCCAACTCACTAAAGAACCTTGAAAAAATCTAATTGTAACCCAACCACACATCATTTAGTTTACCCCTCCTCCAATAGATGCAATTCCCGCTACTCATTTCATATAATCATTCATCTATCATTCCTAGTTACAAATCTATCTTAACATTCTTATTTCTAGCCAACTGATTTTGGCTCAAATAATTTTCTGTAACCCACCGCTTGCATACTTAAAACATGGCCATTCTTGTGCAGTTCTCTAAAAATAACTTTTAGGCCTCAAGGATACTCTTGACAAATAACACTCCCACGAAAATTTCCCATTTTAATTACACAGTTTTAATTCTATAAATTAATTTTTCACGTATTTCCCCCATTCTTCAATATAATAGATCTTACAAATAAATTAAATCTAGGTATCATTTTAATTTCTTGTAATAATGATTTAGAATTTTTAAATATAACTCCCACGAATATTGCATATTATGTATTTAGTTTGCTATCTTCCAAAAAATTAATCCATCGTTATAAACTTTTACTTATTTTAGCGAATATCTTACCAATTAGAGTTATTTTATCTACAAAATGCATATGCTAAGGCATCTCACTTTTTAAATCTTTCGTGAGCATCTTCACAATTAATAAAAAGATACAAACTTAAAAATGATCATTGATATAAACCTATTATAATTAAAGCTTTCTAGCCACTCCAAAACTATTAATAATACTAGTCAATTCATGATACGTATATCTCTAATAACTTCAACATACCTTGGAGAGATTTTTTTTGGAGAGATTTCTTTTCCTTCATGTACACCATATTAATTCTCCTGATACCCTACTATAATAATTCCCAAAACTAAAATAAAAAAAATAAAAGAATAACAAAAAAAAAACTTTGCCAAGATTTTTTCTTTATAATACACATTTTATTTACAACCTTGGCACTTGATCTTTTCCAGAACAGTTCTGCCAAGCATGAAATCAAATTGTTTATAATAATGATATAATTTTTCTGAGTAAATATCATATTAGTATTACTCTCTCAAATAATTAATAGCTTAACTCAAGATATGATTACTTGATGAGAACAATCACAGAATGAGATATGTTTCTTTATCTACCTGTATTCTACGAGTAGAAGTTTGAGGAAAATGCATGCAAAAAAACTATTTCATGATTTACACATTTTGTAGTTATGCATGCCTACATATGAATTCTTCTCAAAATGGTTTTGCTGTACAATGCATCTAGCGTGCCTGCATTAATTTCAAATTCCATCAACAATACAAATAGAGACATTATAGTCACAAATATGATTGCCTTAACAACACGGCAAAGTTGTACGGCCTTGAATCAAAATATTTAAATGCTGTTGATTGTTTCCATTCATGTCGAGTAGATTTAAATCATAAAGGTAGTCCACATCCCAACTATCAAAACAAATAAATAAATAAAAATAAAAAACCACACTAAATGTGACAGGCTGGTGTCATATAAGGATAAGCCAAATGTGACAAGTGTCACACAAAGTGGTGTCTAATTTAGTTTCAACTCTTTTCCAGAAACTTTTTAGAAGATCCTATCAATTTAACTAGCACAAATTTAACCTTCTAATTGTTTCTGTTGAAATATCTAATTTAAATTACAGGATTTATTGTCTTTCCTGTTAAGAATTATAATAAGAAAAAATTTATTCCTATAAAAAGTTATGAGGAATAAATTATTTCCTTAATATAAGTAGATATTTTCTTTTTTATTTTATATTTATTTTCTCGGATTAGGAAACATTTGTTGTCCTGTTTTATGTTATTTCTTATATCTCATAATAATTATATGAATTAATTATTGGAGATATCAGGTGATATATCTTTCCTTTCATATCATTTCTTTTTTTATTATTTCTTATATTATAATATTCTTGTGTTATTTATAACCCAGTTCATATCAATGAAACAATTAAGTATTCCGCTTTATTCCACATTATTCTGAATTTCAACATGGTATCAAAGCGGGAATAAAAATTCAAAAAAACCCTCGCTCTTCTTCCTTCCAAATCCCAAAGAATTGCAAAAGGCGAAGCCCTCGTCCTCTTCCATCAAGCTCAATGGTTCTGGAACCTGACAGCGACCTGCTTTGGAACAGCGACCTGCTTTCTGCTTTGGATCGAGGCCGATCTCGGTGGCAAGATTGACTTTTCGGTAGGATTCCAGCTCGAGCCCCTTTTCAAAATTCATCTCCAGGAATCTCTTCCTTTTTTATCATGTCGGAAAATACAAATGATTATGCTACCTTTATTTAGTCTTCCACCTTATCATCTGCTTCCGCACCACCCTCCTCTAGAACCACCAAAAATCATCCAGCCTAAATCACCACAATCCGCCTCAATGGTGATAATTTTCTACGCTTGTCAAAATCGGGTGAGGATGTACATTTGAGGAAAAAGGAAGATAAGCTACCTAACAGGGGAAGTCCGTGAGTCAGCCACTACAGATCCATCCCACGCAATCTGAGAGGCAGAAAATTTCATGATAATGACATGGTTGGTGAATTTTATGGAAGAAGAGATAGGCGCAAACTACATGTGTTACTCTACTACCAAAGAACTCTGGGAATTCCGATATGGGTAACCAATCTCAGGTTTATGAACTATTTTTAAAATATGGTGATATTCGTCAAGGTAATGATTCAATCACAAAATACTTTGAAATTTAGAAATATATTTACTCATCTCATTTGTCACATAAAGTTTTAATCTTCGATAATTAGCCGGTGGTTGCGGTGACTTTTTATTAAACTAAATAATCTATTAAACATAATATTAAAATTTAAAACTCAAGTAATTATTGTTAATCAAAATAATCTTCTTAACTTAGGATTAATTTACCTGAAATTTTTATGGTTGTTTTACAATGAATTCCACACTCTCACCGCGAGCCTTCCCCCCGATAAACAACCTAGAATTAGCAATTAACTTTAGATTTAAAGATATCTTGGCTCTATAAAGTAATTAAACCCAAAAATATAATTGATTTGCTAAAACATACTTTAAACAGTCTTCTCAGCACTAGCCATTCTCCAAAGCTGCCAAATCTTCTTCTCTCCTCTTCTCAACACGTTAAATCTCCTTTCTCCTTTGTTGAATTCGTGTTAAAATTCTTATGGAACTCGTAAAGGACTTTCGACGATTCTGACACACAATCAACATATTCGGTAGCTACCAGAAACGAGAAAAACACGAAAAATGAGGCAAGCTTAAATTAAGAGGGGTGAGAAGGAAATAAAAGCTTCAAATATCTTAAAAGAGGGATTTATGCTTATTAAAATGTCCACAAATTCCTAAATTGTCAGCTGCTGCAACTAAGGGGCCGCTCGCCTCTTGGCTCGTTCGCGAACTTTGCACGGTAGCAAGGGTCGCAACTCCCAGCTTCTGTTGTGCATGAACCGGATAGGGAGAAAAGATTTTGGGAAAGGAAAAATAGGAAGAGGGGAGTAGGTCTCGACTTACCAGGTGTCGGTCGCCCCTTCTGCTCGCCTCTGCAGGCCTGCTGCGATCGAAAAATGAAAATCTACTTGAGCTCAGGAATTTGATGAATGATACTTTGGTTACTACGGGCAATGGTACTCACCTTACTAATTTGTTAGCCGGCTCACTTCCGAGAACTAGAGGCAGGAGGACTAAAGTGGGACGTCCTTAGCACTTTTATGCTTTTTTTTTGCTTTTTGATTTTTTTTCCTTTATGTATCTTTGCTTTATTTGAGTTTTGTGCCTGTTTTTTTATATGAGTTAGGCTTTCTTTTAGGCCCTCTCATGCAATATTTCTGTATCTTTTCCGTATTAATATATTTGTCCTTGGGCTTTTTCTATATATATTGATAGCAAATAGTTTGGATAAGACCGATAATGATGATTTTCAATTTCATCAAATTCAATATGCTCTTTGATATTTAAAAGCCACTTATTTGTATACTTTTTGAAATTGATTTTATTGAGTTTTCATTATATCTTTATGTTTTACATAGTTATACCCAGAGAAAATGCAGATAGAAACACTCTGAATTTAGGCCCTCTCATGCAATATTTCTGTATCTTTTCCGTATTAATATATTATATATATATATATATTTATATATATTGATAGCAAATAGTTTGGATAAGACTGATAATGATGATTTTCAATTTCATCAAATTCAATATGCTCTTTGATATTTAAAAGCCACTTATTTGTATACTTTTTGAAATTGATTTTGTTGATTTTTCATTATATCTTTATGTTTTACATAGTTATACCCAGAGAAAATGCAGATAGAAACACCCTGAATTTCATCATATTCATTGTGCCCCATAATATTTAGAAGGCGCTTGCTTTGTATGTTTATTGATCTTGAAATTAGATTCTGCAGTTTCAATTGTTAAAATTTTAATTATATAAAAAGTTTAGAAAAATTTTCATGGTATCCTAACTAAGATTATTAAATGTTGTTTAATATGAAGGGCGGCAAATGTTTTTTCTTGTGCCTATCTGGTCAATTTGATAAGGCCGGCCCATAGACAAATACCCATGAAACATCAGCAAGCACTGTATAGCGGTAAGTCGTTTTTTTTTTTTTTTTGGTGTAGATTTCTGATTTATTTTTTATTTTTTATCATAGTTTAAAAATTCATAATGAACAGGTCTTAGAGGGGCCATGGCTTTTGCTTTGGCTCTGCAATCTGTACATGACCTTCCAGAAGGACATGGGCAAACAATATTCACAGCTACGACTGCAATAGTTGTTCTAACCGTATGCTTTCTTAAAACTAATAGTTAAATTGAGTTTTTATTTGCTAGAACGATAGAATCATTACTGAATGTTTTTTTTTTTGGTTTTTATTATTATTTTTTGAATGAATGAAAATCAGGCGAGCAATTTAAGGTGTTGGAAGATTTAATTATGAAGAAATTGGTCTAAATCATTTTTCACCTACTATTCCGTTGAAATGTATTTTATTCAACAGTTCTGAGATAATGTATAACTTAGTATCACCCAATATTCATCTTATGATGGTAAAAATCTCCACTCACTGATTTGAAAGGTTTGTTAGGATAATAGACAAGCAAAATGAATTGAAGAATAATTGTGGCAAAGAACCAAACACAAACACATAATAGTTTACATAACTTTGTGAAATTCACCTACATTTTTGGCCGCATATAATTTGAATGCTTCCACCAAGCATAAATAGTAGACTGAATTTAGTTTGCCACGTATACAAAGAGGAGGAAGAAGAAATAAAGTTGCTACTTGTGGAAATCAGATGGTAAGTGAATGCTGGCAAATTTTATTGCTCTTGCTTTAGAGGGTTGGAATGAAAAAGAAAGATATTGATGTTATCGCATGCATATGGATTGAAGAAGACTGCATTATCCTTTCTCCTGCACAAGCCTGTCCTTCCACTCTTTTGTTGCTCATAGTTGTACCTGCCTGTGAGGCCCACATGATCACTATACCTATTTATCTTTTGTTGTTGGTGTGGTATGTCAGAACATGCAAATTTTGTAGAAGAAATATTTGGACGTTATTCTAGAAAATTTGAAATATATTGTGAAATCTTCTAGAACAGGATTTGCATATCCAGACTATAACCATCTGAGGATTGGCGCCAGTGCTTTTATTGATTATGTTGGTTCTCTTGAAAACAGAAAATCAACTTTTAGATTGTATTTTTGTTGTTGGAAATGTTGTGTCCTGAAGAAGTAAGAAACAACGGTGAGATCTAGTGTTTAAGGAGAATCAATGGTCATTAATGCCTTAAAATTCTTCTAACAGAGTTTGGTTTTTCAATTAGAAAAGCCTTGATCTTCAATGGTGATGATCAAGCACAATACATTACTAGTAATTTTGTCTTCCACAAAAGAATTAGCCATGTTCAAGTTGACTATTATTCAACATGGGACACTGAACTATCAAGGAATATCGTTACTCTACATGTACCTAATGAGGAAGAAATTGTTAATATCTTCAGCAAGGTTCTTTGACAACTCCATTTTCTGACCTAAAGTTAGCTAGGTATACTATGTGATATATATTTAATTGATTGTTCCTGAAAACACTATATTTTCTTCTTTATCATTGATACGGTGGTTTTCTTGGTGAATAATGACAACAAAATTTATTTGAAGATGGAATTGACCATCTGATAGAAGTAATTATTGTTTGTACATCCTGCCACAACACGATCTGATAGTTTTGCATTAACTAAGTCAAGAACTGTGGTCGGACGGTATTAACATTTCATTTACTTTCCAAATAACTTCATGACTTCCAATATAAAGAAAAGCCCCAAAGAAACCATAAAGTACACTGCATAGAAATAAAAAAATCCATAAATAACAACGTAATCCTTAGACAACTTCTCATTCAATATATAATAGTATTTCAGTATCCAAAAGAAAACAGTGCAAAAGAAATCGCCATGATATCGCAACATAATATCTATCAGTTATAGTTCTCTTGTAAACTAAATTCCTTCGGTCATGCATATAAATATATAATTTTTCAAGAAAGAAACAATTAAATTCAACAGTAAATTTTCATGACTTAGTGTGCAATTATAATTTTATTGTTGAATTTTGATCTGTCAGTGAACCACGCCTCAAGTGTTAGAGAGATAAAGAGAGTCGGAGAGAAGCGCACAGTATGGAACGTTAAAACATCTTGTTTTTTTCATAAATTAATTCTTGTTTTTAAGGGGGTATAATATGTAAAGTTACATATTTGCTCTTGCTTTAATGGGGCTTTAAAGGATATTTTAGGTATTTTATATGTATGGGTCTATGATTGTAGCAATCTTCTGACGGTTGGCAATGCTCGGTGAGCCTCGGTTCTATAAGGCCTGCTCATTCGGCTATGTTGAGTCAAGGTTGCTGGTCGGCTTTCGATGGACTTTGGGTTAGCAAGATTGACTCGATTGGTTAGACTTTGTTAATCGGTTAATCTAGTGTGATTGTTATTCTTTGTTCCATGGTTAAACTTTGCACATGATTCTTATAAATAGGGCGTGACAATACTTCTTTTGTGACATCTCGTTTTAGATATCTGAGGTAGCCAAAGAGGGGGAGAGGAAGTGATGAGTCGGGAAAATGTAAGGGTATATTTATTCTATAACTCTTTGCAGTCGACTTGTAGAGTTGAGCGGCTCTGTTGCACAGGAGAGGAGGGCGTTGCGGTTGGTGCGGGAGGAGGTGTTGTCGAACAGGTTAGGGTAGCGAAGTTGTGCTCGCGTGAAGAGGTAGAGGGAGGAAGAAGTTGAAGGAAGTTATCGCGGTGTGAAGCTTACCCTCTCGACTGTACCCTAGTACGTGGGTGAAGGAAGAACATGTCAGGCATTCTATGTGTGCAATGAAGAAGAAGCAGCATCGCGTGCGTAGAGGAGGGGTGGAAGATGGCTTCACATGGTGTAGAGCTCTCGACAAAGATTTAAAGATCGGTTTTAATAATATTAATTAATTTATTTAATTAGAAAATTATTTATATATATATATACATATTTATTTATTTATTTATATATTGTAACGTTAACACAAAATTTTATTAAATTAGGACATTTGGTTTTGATTTTTAGCTTGGAGGGGAATAGAAGTAGAGAAGTGTGCAACTAAAGGGGGAGGGAGATTGATATGACCAAACTTTGTGAAGGTAAGATTGGGTTTATATTATAATTTAATTAATAAATTTTAATTATATATAATGAATAGAAAAATAAAGTTAATTAGGATCTCAAAATAAAACGATGAAAATTAATACTTAAATAGTGTAAAGCTAATAATTTATTAAAATAATATGACATTAAGTTTTAAAAATCAGAATATCATGTTTATTATAAACATCAATTTTAGAAGAGTAGATATCAAAGCAAATCTAGGAACAAATAAATCATCATTGAGGTGAATATTCTTATTCCTAAATTTATGGTAGTATTTTGATTTCTTTTCAACCAATTGCATTAATAGTTATTGATGTCTATAAATTCATGTACTCTTCTTTTTATTGGCTATATCTTAATGTTAGACTTTCTTTTAATAAAAATTATAACATGTTATTTAAAGATACATATATTATATGTCATTAGATAATCATATAAATGATATACATATATACATATATACATATATATATATATATATATGTATAACCCAAGGGCTAATATATTAAAGAGTAAAAGATACAGATAGGTTGTATGAGAAGACCCAAAAGAAAGTCCAACTCACACAATACAATAAACATAATTTCAAATAAATCAAAGATACAAAAGGATAAAAAGCTGAAAAACCACAAACTGGCGCAAAAGTTCTAGAAATGTCCCACTTTAGTCTTCCCTTTGCTTTTAGTTTTCGGAAGGGAGCCGGCTAACAGATTGGTAAGGTGCATACCATTATCCGAAGTAACCAAAGTATCGTCCATCGGATTCCTGAGCTCAAGTAGGTCTTCATTCTTCTTCTTCCTCCCGGATGTGTAGACCTGTCATTCCTCACTCGAGGATTGACTCATCTGATCAATGGATTGTTCCAAAGGTGGCAAGACAGGTGTAGGCTGTCGCACGTCATGATTTCTATGAGCCTGAGAAATATTAACATTTTGCTCGACTTAATGGGACGGTAGTGAAGCATTAGAAGTATTGTCACTTGTAATATCAGCGATAGGTTCTAGAGCAGGTGGGGTCTGAAGAATCTCCCTCGTCCCCCTCGTCCCCATGATTGCACCCACGATTGGAGGTTCCAAAGACGGGGAAGCTACAACATTGTGTGAAGTAGTTGACATATTGCCTGCGAGGTTAGTGACGCCTTCAGGAGTATTCTTTTGATGATCAATGGTGTCAATAACTTGGAGCTGAACAGGAAGAGCTAGATTCTCTTTCTCTGGCGGAGCGCTTTGTTTTGTTGATCTGAGTCGGGGGTGTAGATAATGGCATTGAGAACTGTAGTGGTCAAACATATGACAGTTCGAACAATAAGAAGGAAAATACTCAATCACTATATTTTGTAAATATTCATGATGCTGTGTGTCCAACCAAATCTCCTCAAAAGCGGATGAAATAATGTCTTTTTCAACAAGTACTCTAGCTTCAAATGGGCGAGAAAGATTAAAATTAGGAATGTTCGTTTTAAGTGGCTTATCATAAGTTGAGGCAATAGAGTGCAACACTTTTTGAGTGAAATAATGAAATTTTACACCAGTGAGCTGAATCCAAACTGGAATGATTGGTGGTTCCGTCTGTGGGTCAAAATCCACAGACCATTTCAAAATTTTCATTGCTCTGTTATCAATCTAGATAATCCTTCTAGCAAATAAACGAATCTTTTTCATTATTAAGTTAAATAAGAGTGTCTTCCATTTAAAAGTCCAATTTTTTACTCCCCAACAAGGTGCATAAGCTCAAATTGTTTACGAATCAGCTCCATTTTGAGATGACTATACAAAAACTTTCCGATCAAATTCAGACGATAGGAGGAAGCAAGTTGAATACCTTCAGCTTCTGTTGAAAAGATGACATGTTTCTCATTCTTCCTACCAGGTTTTTTGATGTCCTTCTTCCACTCAAACGAAAAAAAAGAGCGCGATTTAGGTGTACCTGAGGCTTGGGCACCCGCAAAGGTAGCAGTATACGATCTGTCTGAAGCCATCCCCAATAGAGATGCAGAGAGCAAATTATGAAACCAAACAGGGAGCAAGGAGCTGAAGAAAGCCCCTCTGTGAGCTGCAGACGACCAGCTAGCGACAGCTAACAGATGCCCCCGAGCACG